TTTTTTTATCTCCTAAATTTTTTATTTTGAGATAACTAGATTCACATGTAGCTGTCAGAATACCTTAAAATCCCTTGTATACTTCATCTACTGTTCCACTGGTGACACCTTGAATGGTTTAGAGGATCACCCTCTTCACAGTTCATTAGTTTTACGTAATGTATATTTTTATGCTTTTTTTTTTTTTTTTTTCACATGTGTAGCTTTGTCACCAGTAGCTTTTTTAAATGAAATAGTACAGGACCAGGGCTGAAGCTGTGTGTAGAGTACTGGTGGACCAGGCACTGGGTCAGTACTAACTTGGGGTGTGCTGTAGTTATACCCTACACACACCAGGATGGGACTGGTTAACTGCTTTCTAGACTTCACTCAAGCAGGTGGAATACTCAGCTCCGTATAAATAAGTATACTGAGAGATCCTGACATGTGTTCTGGACCCCATGAGTTATTTAAGGGGCTCTCAAGAATAATTCTGGCTAGCGGCAGTTTTTCCATATATAAATAAAGTTAGGGAGAAACCATTGAATATTTTTACAGTGAGAAATTCTAAGCAAATATCTTAATTCCAAGAAGCTTTGTCAGGGTTAAAAACCCATTCTGAAGCCAGGCCCTGGTGGCTCTTGCCTATAATCTCAGCACTTGGGAGGCTGAGGCAGGAAAACTGAGAGTTTGAGGCCCACCTGAACTACATAGCAAGACCCTATCTCAAAAAAAACAAAAAACCATGCTGATGTAAACCCTTATTAAGGCTCAGCCTTTTTTCTTTTTGAGTCAGGGTCTTGCTATGTAGTTTAGCTGGTTTTAACTACAATTCACTGTGTATTCCAGGCTGGACTCTGATCTGTGTCAGCTTCCTGAGTGCTGGGATCACAGGCATGCACCACTACACCCACTTCCTTTCTCCTAATCTCTTGACATGGACCTAATCTCAAGACCTTTGCTCTCTCAGCAAAAGTGAAGTCCCCTAGGACTGTGGGAGGAGTGACCTCTGATTGGTCTGGCACACCAAGGGTACGGGCTGGCTAAAAGTGGTTCAGTCTTGGGGCTGGGGATTTAGCTCAGTGGTACCGCCACCTGCCTCACAAGTGCAAGGACCTGAGTTCAATCCCAGAACCAAAAAAAAAAAAGTCCAGTCTACTGACTGGATCACTTGCCTGGAGGGCCATACCTGGGAAGCATAGATGTCCTTACATTGGAGCTATGCAAGTACATAGCAAGGTTTTAGAGAGATTCTCTTTGGGTTCGTGTACTGAAGAGATCTGTAACAAAATTTCCTAATTTTAGCCTCACCTTTAGTTGGACTAATGTCACCTACCCCACAGTGATAGAATTGTCTTTCAAACACAAAATAAACACAAGGGTTCAAGACTTTAAAAAACAAAGACCCAGATCTTTGGGTTTTTCTTAATATCATAGAATAAACTTACATCACTAGTTACAGGCTATGTTAATCATAACAGTTAAAACTATAAAGGTTATACATGACAACAATATAGCCTCCAGGCGTGGTGGCGCACGCCTGTAATCCCAGCACTCGGGAGGCTGAGGCAGAAGGATTGCTGTGAGTTCGAGACCAGCCTGGGCTACATAGTGAGTTCCAGGTCAGTCTCAACTACATAGTGAGACCCTGTCTCAAAAAAAAACAATATAGCCAAGCTATGACAAACATGTCTAAATAAAAGTTTTTTTAAACATTTTTTTAATCTATAAAAAACAAAGAGGGCCTAAAACACTATAAATACACATCTGAGAGATCATCTTTGATCTCTGTTGTCAAGCCTTCCTAACAACTCTGTAAATATATACACAGGTCACCCAGCGGTCTCATGGGTTTTTTTTTTTTTTTTTTTTTTTTGGTACCAGGGATCAAACCCATAGGCTTTTTACAGGGGAAAACACAATACTTGTCACATTTTAGGCATCTATAGTGCTTTACTACTGAGCTGTATCCTCCAGCCCTTTCATTGTAATTTCTGGTGACATTAAATAAATCTTAGTTCCCTTTTGACTCTGAAAGGGATAAGGAAGTGGGGAGATTATCAGAGGAGCAAAGTCCACCATAAGGAAAGCCTCATTCTGGCTTGGGGTTTTCCAAGCCTTCCCCAAGACAGTTGCACTTTCCCTGCAATGGCTCTTATTGCAGAGGCAGGGGATGGAGTTGGCAGAGGTTTGGAATCTCCCTATCTGGGTGAAGTAGGACCTGGGCAAGCGGTGAATGAGGAGCTTGGCAGGAAAAGAAATGGAATTATAACAGGAAGCTGAAGAGGGTGTGAAACCAGGAAAGGAAACATCCTGGCTGCTGCATCAGGCTTCTTGTGGAAGCTGGTAATGTGGCAGTGGCCATTCTGTTGCCTTCTATCAAGGACCCATCCTCACTGTACCGTTGAACCAGCGGCTGCTGCCACGTACTCTCACTTTTGGTGGCAAATTTCAGTTTGGGCAATGCTGCCCCCTTCTGGGGATTACCAAAAACTACAATTTTTGTGGCTCCTGGAGTCACTAGCCAGCCCAAATGTGGGGTATCTCACCCTCTTTTGGACCATGCTAGAAATCAAACCCAAGTCTCACATGAGCTAGGTTAGTGCTCTATCACTGGGCATCACCCTCAGTCCAGTCTGGCCATTTGGATCTAACAGACAGGATGTCTTCTCCCCAAACAGCTGACTGGGGGCTTCCTGAAGCCAGGATCCTGGCTAGTCTCTGGGTCGTAGATCTAAAGGACTCATCTACTTTGCCCACCAGTGAAAAGAGAATCTAGCAGCCCAGGAGATCACCCTGGTTCCAGGAAGCCCCTTCTTGCTGCTTCCATTGGTCAAGAGTGAGTGACTGCCTTTGGGCCTCACGTACACACCCATCTAGTCCCAGACTTCGGAGGCCACCAGAGAAGCTGATATCCACAAGGATGGCAGTTGACAAAGGGCCAGAGTCTGAATTGGTCACTGCAACACATGCTCTACATCAAGGAGGAGAGCAGGTCCAGGACACAGCCAGCTAGATGGTGTCTGGGAACTTGCTAGAGCCCTCTGGGTGAAGGGGCGAAGGCTGGGGATGTGTCAGCCGAGGACTAGACAGATGCAGAGAGGAAGCAGGGCTGAGCCAGGATAGAACCCAGGCTCCCCGGCTCCAGCCCGCCTGAGTCCTCCGCCTTCACGTGTCATGCCAGTGCCACACACAGTGTTTAGACAGAGCAGCGGCAAGGAAAAGCAGACGTTCTGCATCCCTTGGGGAGGAGGCAGGGGCTGGGAACAGAGGCTGTCTGTTTATTCCCTACAGTCTGGTATCTGAGGGGTCCTGCACCCACTTCTCTCCAGATCCCAAGTTGAACTTTCCCAGAGCCGCTTTTTGGTTTTTTGGGGGGGTTTTTTTGGCAGTGCTTATGATTGAACCCAGAGCTCTGTCACTGAGCTACATACACCCCCAGCCATTTTTTTGTTTTGTTTTTATTTTGAGCCAGGGTATTGCCAAGTTGCCCAGGCTGGCCTTGAACTTGTAATCCCACTGCCTCAGCCTCTTGAGTAGCTGGAATTACATGTGGGCCACCACACAGCCAGGCTAGATAGCCTGGGTCTGAGGACCACACACCATTTCCCTGGAGGCTGACCACTCTTCCCCCTTTCTGTCCCAACCGAAGTCCCACCTCTTCAGGACCCCAAACAGCTGCACAGGCCTGGTGGAGTCAGGCCACCAGCCCTTAGGGACCAGATCTCCCCTTGGTCTGTGCTCTTCTGTGGGAAGGTTGTTCCTCACATCTCATCACCAGCTTTCTTGCTGTGGTTTCCCCCTGCTCCTTTCCATTTCAGCCTTGAGTGAGGGTGGCTGGCTGGCTGTTCCCTTACCCCCAACTTATTCTTTGGTACCCAGGAGGGATCAAATTCGGGACCATGAGCTTTAGAGGCAGGTGGTGGCACCCCTGAGCTAAATCCTCAGCCCAACCCCCAAGTTATTCTTTTGTTTTGTTTTGTTTTTGTTTTTTGAGACAGGGTTTCACTATGTAGTTGAGACTGACCTGGAGCTTACTATGTAGCCCAGGCTGGTCTTGAACTCACACCCCAAGTTATTCTTGACACTTGGGGAAACCCAGGCACCACAAGAGTTGGCTTCTGTTTCTTGAATTTGCTGATCTTTCACTGTACCTGGTTTTTTATAGGCTCCCTAACGTGCCTTTCTCAGCAGAGTTCCTGCGAAGAGGGGACAGGTATAGAGGACACACCTCATGGTGTTCATGACAGTAACGACAGCTGACTGTGTGCCTGGTGCTGATCCATTTCATGTCAGTCACACCGGAGGTGAGTATAATTATGAGCCCCATTGTGAGGTGAGGAAACTAAGGCAAGCAAAGTTTAGAGACTTCTAAGTTCAGACAGCTATAAAAACATAATAGCATTGCAGCTCTTGTTCCCACTGGCTTGTTCCTCTTAACCATCACGGAGGAGGGAGGAAGTTATTTGTTGAGATGACCCTTCATCAAGTGTCAAGCACTGGGGTGTAGGTGGTCACCTGTGTTACTCCTCAACAGGCCCCACAATGTTCCCGACAGGTTGTCTCACTTGCTCCCATTGAAGGTGGGAAGACAGGCAGCTTGCATAAGGTCACATCATCACAGCCACTTGTATCAGATGCATAGCCCAGAACTTGACTCAGAAAGAAAGTAATTGAGAAAAATGCCAGATGAGCTCAGATTCTGGAAGGCAAGTCTGACTTTAACAGCTTAAATGCCCATCAAGAGACAGAGGGACTGAAGATTCTCGAGCCCCAGACACCCAAGCACTGCCACCATCTTGCACAAGCACACATTTCCCTTTGGTCCTCTGGCAGGAACACCACACTGGCTGTGCAGCCATGGCCACTCTGGGTTTAAAAGGCTCATAAAATAGAGATGTATGCAGGAGGTAGGGGGGCAGGTGCAGTCAATCATTATTATTCATTAACTGGAATGCATTTCCCAGATTAGCTGGGCAGTGGCAGCAGGCAAGAGTGCTGCTCACTGCGGAGCCCACCTAGGTAAAGAAACCACTGCCTAGGTGGCACGGTATGGCTGAAGGCTGAGGAGGGGTCACCAGGACAGGAAGACAGGAAGGAGGCAGGGAGGGCCAGGAGGGGTGGCTTCTCAGTGGCTGTCACTCAAAGATGTGCCAAGTCCCACCCCCTGGAGGTGGGGCCAAGGCTAAGCCCGCCAGCATCAGCTGCTCTGTCCCTCCCAGAACCCAGGCTGGGGTAGGGCAGGACAGGAGAGCCTGGCCCTGCTGTCCAGTGGAGGCACTTACTGACCGGATACCAGACATTGTCTGAAGCCCTGCAAGGCTAGTGGCTGCGGCCCTGACACTCAGGAAAGCCCAGGCTGACAAGGGACACCTGTCCACAGCCATGTGAGTAGCCCCCCTCCTTCCCCTCACTCCTCCCCAGCCCAGATCCTGAGGAGGCCACTGCACGGGCCCAAGCCACTAGGCTCTCCAGGGTATTCGGGTGAAACAGCCCACACCCCACTAGGACATCACGGCGACTGATCCTTTTCTTTCTTGTTGCTGGGGGAGGCGAGAGGTCTGGGAGTCCATCTCAGCCCAAGTTTGAGGTAACAGGCCAAGTCTCAGGGGGTTTAATAAGGTTGATGGCGCAGGGAGAAAGGGGAACAGAAACTGGGGGCCACTGCAGAGGGAAAGATGTCCTGGGTCAAAGGCAGGGAGGAGGCTGAAGAAGAGGGAACTGGCTGAGGGGAAGGGAAAGGGGCACAAAGAGCAGCCTCAGGCTGGGGGCAGCTGGGAGGGAAAGGGAGCATCTCCCTGTGCTCCGCGTGGCCATGCAGCTGATCCTGTGACCCCGACCCAGGGAAAGCTTCCTTATTGACTCGGATCCTAGCAACTGCAGCTGATCCACTGTTGACAGAGGCAGGAGCTCCTACAGGACCAGGACCCCCTCCCCTTGCCCCTGCATGTGTCCATAGGACTGAGAGCAGGGAGCCAAGTGGAGAAAGAACTGGGACAGGCCAGAAACACAGAATGGACAGATCAGAGCCTCAGGGAAGCTGGACCCTGCCACCAACTCCTGGTCCATCCTCTGGCCTGGCCTTAGCTCCTGGAGGCCTGGGGTGTCCTCTCCAGGATGCTGGCATCCCCACCTTCCAGGCCAAGAAACCCACTACTGCCCCTTCCCCCCAGCTCCTAGGAAGGGCCTGTCATTACTATAGATCAGATGAGTCAAGTTTATGGGCTGGAAGTCCTACCCAGAGGGTGCTCACTGAGCTGTTAACAGGCTGTGGCAGACACCAGGGTAGAGTAGGGGTGGGCAAGGATAGGGCACCCCATTGTACCCCAAACTTGGTCCACAGGAGCCTCTCATACAGTGTCACCTGGGAGGCCACAAGACACCAGCTGAACCCCATCCTCTCATGGCTCATTTAGAGGCCTCGGTGGTGGATGGGGCAGGGAGGACAGAATGCCTGGAGTGCATCACCTTTCTGTCTAGACAGAGGTATAAGCTCAGGTGCCCAGCTGCTGGAGACTGTGGTGAACGATCCAAAGACAGCCACTGCTCAGTTACCATACAGGGCATACATGGTCCCAGACCTGCTTTTCCAAAAGAAGCCAAAAGTAGGACTTTTAATTGGCAACTAATTGAATCAACATGTCAGCAAACAGCCGGGGCCCACAGTCTGCCGGTCTGCCACCTCTGATTAAAGTGCAGCCCCATCCTAACTCTAGCCACCCCCCTGCCCCATCCAGGCATGCCAGCTGTCACTCCAGGCCCATCTCATCTCAAGGCCCACGATGACACCCAACAGCACCGGGGAGGTGTCCAGCCCCATTCCTGCGGGGGCCCTGGGGCTCTCCCTGGCCCTGGCAAGTCTCATTGTTGCTGCCAACCTGCTCCTGGCCCTGGGCATCGCCTGCAACCGCCACCTGCGCAGCCCACCCGCTGGCTGCTGCTTCCTGAGCCTGCTGCTAGCCGGAGTGCTCACAGGGCTGGCACTGCCCATCTTGCCAGGGTTGTGGAACCGGAGCCACCAGGGCTACTGGTCCTGCCTCCTACTCTTCTTGACTCCCAACTTCACCTTTCTCTCTCTGCTCGCTAACCTGCTGCTGGTGCACGGGGAGCGCTACATGGCAGTACTGCAGCCACTCCGGCCCCATGGGAGCACTCGGATGGCCCTCCTCTTCACCTGGGCAGCCTCCCTGCTCTTTGCCAGCCTTCCTGCACTTGGTTGGAACCACTGGAGTCCTGGTGCCAACTGCAGCTCCCGGACTGTCTTCCCGGCCCCCTACCTCTACCTCGAAGTCTACGGGCTCCTGCTACCTGCTGTGGGGGCTGCTGCCCTGCTCTCCATCCGAGTGCTGGCCACTGCCCACCGCCAGCTGCAGGACATCCGCCGGCTTGAGCGGGCAGTGTGCCGCAATGCACCCTCTGCCTTGGCCCGGGCCCTCACCTGGAGGCAGGCCAGGGCTCAGGCTGGGGCCACACTGCTCTTCGGACTCTGCTGGGGGCCCTACGTGGCCACCTTACTCCTGTCAGTCCAAGCCTATGAGAGACGCCCACCCCTGGGGCCTGGAACTATGTTGTCCTTCATCTCACTGGGCAGTGCCAGTGCAGCGGTCGTGCCAGTGGCCATGGGTCTAGGTGACCAGCGCTACACAGCCCCCTGGAGGGCGGCCGCCCAAAGGTGGCTGCAAGTGCTACGGAGAAGAGCCTCAAGGGACAGTCCTGGCCCCAGCATTGCCTACCATACCAGCAGCCAAAGCAGCGTTAACCTGGACTTGAACTAGCAGAGGGGCTGCTGCTGACTCCTACAAGCATCAGTCCATCTCAGCCACCAAATGCCTTTCACCTGTCCTCGAGATGCCTCCTCAATGGACCCACCCAGGTGGAATAAAACTTCCAAGTTATCTCTGTATTTCAGAAAGGGGAGCAGGTGGAAGAGGCCCATAGAGAACCTAAAGATGGACTTGTGCAGCGAGGGAGATTCCACCTCCAAACAAGCAAGCAACTGTCAGTGAAAACAAACTACTCAAAGATGGCGCACACGAACCCTCCCTGACCTCCAGAAGCTGGGGGAGCCTCACCCCAACATGGCCTTCGCTAGTCCCTCACATCCAGTCGCCACAAAATCCACACAGACACTGCCTCTGGGAAGTATATTTTATTTACATTTTTAAAATCTGTAACTAATATCTCTTCCTCCTTTCCATCCCCAGAGATTTGGGAAGGGAAAGAACGGGAACCTCAAAGACCTACTCCCCACATACAAATATTTACCCCATGGCTCACACCAGCAAGTGAAAGAGAAAGAATCACCCTCCCTCGAAGGGCCCCAGGGCTGGGCGAGGGAAAGGGAGGGCCCCAGGGTGGGTCTAACAAGGAGAGAAAGACAGAGGGGGGCAAGTCGGCTGAAGGGGTGGGAACGTAGTCGAATCCCCTCCCCTCCTCTTTCCTCTGTACCCTGTGCCTCAGCTGGAGTGGGGGGAAAGGGTTCACCCTTCATCGCCCTCAACACCAGACACCAAGCCAGAGGCTGCAGCCATTAACGGTCGGGTCTCTGGACACAAAATACTTTCGCTTTGTGGTCACCTGAGGTGGTCACCACCAAAGAGGCATCTCTGTGGACAGAAAGCACAGGGTTGAAGGGTGTGAAGAACCTGGGCCCAGACCCAAGCCAAGCCCACTTCCCAGGGTCCTTAAGTCAGGCTCCTCCCGCACACCCGCCATCCTAGGTCCCCCGTGCCAAGCGCTGTGGATGCATCTGGCCAACCAGGAAAGGTATCACGGGAGGAGGAAACCCATGACAGTGAGGGGGACGGAGGACCAGTCTCCGCCTCCACCCCATGGCTGGGATGTAAGACCCAGGAGGACACGGCCAACTGCTGGGATGGGGTTGCACCAGAACCCTCAGGCTTCCCAGCACACCCACCTTGCCAGCTAAAGCCAGGCCTTGAGTCTCACTTGACTGAGGAACCCCCATCACCCTCCAAAGTCCCCATATCCCCCATGGGAGTCCACTGTCCAAACACACAAGATCCCAGCCCTGCCCAATTCACTTACTTGCTGAGAGCAAAGTCCAGGATCTCGGCAGTGTGGCCCCGGTAGTCTGTGAGCAAGCGGCCAGTCCGGGCGTCCCAGAGGCGCACAATGCCATCCAGGCTGCAGGTGTAAACCACAGCAGTACCGGCCTCCCACAGCAGCTGCACAATGCCTGACTGCTCGGGGTATGGGGTATGACAGAGGCAGAGCAGAGGTCAGAGGTGGGAGAGGAGAGACATCTGCTCCCATCTCTCAGCGAGGGATGCAGGGTAAAGGATGGAGCAGGTCTGGGCAGATGGTTCCTGAGGCCTGGGCTTCCCTATGGCCATGCGCACAGCCCCCTACCTGGTGCTGACACTGGTGCCTGAGAGTCTGCGTGGACAGGTCATAGACTGCCAACGTTCCGTCCAGGTAGCCAACAGCTGCCAGAGGCATCCTGAGCAGCGGAGAGCACCGGGACAGCTCGTGAGACCCTGGACACACGGGCCCTGCCTCCTCTCTAGTCCCCTAGCCCAGGGCCTCCCCAAAGCCTCCCTCTCCCCAGTCCCTCTGAACTCCAGGCCCAGGCCCTGGCTCACACTCACACACTGCAGAAGCCCAAGGACTCCACCGAGTTGGACTCACTCTCCTCCCCTTCTCCCAAGTTGGGCTGGGAGGCCACGGTCTCTGGTCTAAAAACACCCACCACCTGTCAGCAAGAGGAGAGAGTTAGACAAGGCTGGACTCTCAGTGCCCCAGCGGAGAAAAGGCAGCAAGAGTGAAAAAGGAAGGGCAGAACCTCTGCAAAGCAGAGGCCCCTAGCAGGCTCACTCACCTTGCCAGTGGTGGCACTGACCAGCTTGGCCTGGCAGTCCACAGAGCCAGTAAGAATCAGGCTGCCATCCTGGTTGGTAGCAACACAGGTCAGAGGGCCCTGGTGACCCTCAGTCCCTGGGGTAAAGCACAGGGACACATCAGGCACTGAGTCCTACCCTTGGCTCATGGACCTCTCCCACAAATTCCTGACTCTGATACCTTTCAGTACATGGATGGGGTTTCCCTGCTTCAGGTCCCAAATCCTGATGGTACCATCTTCATAGCCTACCACAGCTCTCTTCCCTAAAGGGCCAGAGGTAGCAGTGAAGACAAGACAGAGGGCACATCAGACACAAAGCAAGGGCAATGGGACAGGGGAAGAGAAGTGTTAGGGTACAGATACTGCTCCAGGAATCAGGGGTGAAACCCAGTTCAGAGCTTCTGGCTTTGAGCCCCAAAGCAGGCCTGAATTTGCCAGCTGGGGCCCAGGAGAGTTCAGGGAGGTATATAAACCTGGGTCCATCTCTGCACTCAAGAGCTATGCTCACCATCAGGGAGGACACGACCACAAGTGGCTGGGCAGTTGGGGCCCTGGAAAGTCTTGCAGTCACCATTTGGGACCTTCCACATCCAGGTGTTGCCATCAGCTGTGCCCGCCAGTAGGACAGGTGCCCGAGGGTGCCACTCCATCCACTGGGCAGACAGGAAGGGTTAGCAGGAAGGCCCGCCACCCAAGCCACCTTGAATCCTCCCCATATCCCTCTCCAAGGTTTCCCTGACTCTGGGGTCAGCAGGAACTTTCCAGGTGACAGGTGCAGACACTGCTGCTGTACCTTGGGGTACACAGGTGCAGTGGAGGTGGGACTGGCCCCCTGAAGCTCTCATCTCTATCTGAGGACCCACAGAGGTGAATCCCATGCTGAAGATCTCACCTCCAGGTCTCCTGCTTCAAAGGACCAGACCTCCTCCTTGGTGTCCACCTGCCACACTTTCAAGAGACCACTCATGTCCCCTGTGGCCACCAGGGTGGAATCATGGCTGAAACCAGCACAAGTCACAGAGTCTTTATGGCCTGCAAAGAAAAGTGGGCAGAGAAGAAAACAATAGAGTACCTAATGCTGGGGACACACGACCCAGGTCCCTAGCCCCCTAGAAGGACCAAGCTAGGAAAAAAAGGTAGGTGGGTCCCAGCAGAACAGGTGACCAAATTCTCTGTAGCTCCAGGAACCAACAAGAGCTCTAGGTCTCCCCAAGACAGAACCTGCTAGCCCCCCACTCATGCAAGCCCAGCCTCCTGTGCCTCCTTACCCATTCTGTCCCTACCACACCTCTGCTTGAAACCCCACATCCTTCCCTCTGCCCACTTAGGCCTACACCAGTGCCACTGCCTCTCAGGCTTTTCCTAGACTCCCTCAGCCAATGTGCCTAAGTAGGCTATGTGATTATTCTCTGTGTTCCAGGGGCCATGCCAGAGTAGGCACTAAACAAAGGTCAGTAAAGGGTTGTCCAAACGATGCTGGGCCACTGCAGGCCACCCATACGGTCTCCAAAGCTACATGACACCCCTGACTCAGGCCCCAGCACCAGACCCCTCACCTGCACACTCGAAGAGCAGCTCCCCATCACTGAGTCTCCACACAAAGGCTTTGTCATCTTCACCGCCCGTCACTGCCAATGTGTTGGTCTTGGGGTCCAGGCTCACACAAAACACAGATGCTATCCCAAGAGAGAAGATATTCCAAGGGTGAGGAGACAGGGCTCCCACCAGAGTTCTGTCCTTTCAGTACCTTCAGGAAGCCCACCTCTTTCACCCAAAGCAATGTCTTCCTCCAGAAAGAGAAGGGTGCAACCAAGTTCTAAGTTTCAAGCATGAGGTTATTAGGGAAATCCTTCCCTAAGCCTGCTAAGCTCCAAGACTCTCTACAGAGCAGATCCCTTACTGTTCTCTTCCCTTACCTCCCCACAGACAAGAGGTAGGCACTTGCGCAGGGCTTAGAGTTGTCAGTACAGGATGCCACCAGGCTGGGGACTACAGAGTAAGGAGAGCGTGTGTTACTGGCTTCTTACTCAGAACTTCTGGTGACATTACATAAAATACACTTAAAAGCACTTAAATACTTTGTTTCTGTTTTTGTAGATTGTTTGTTTCTTTTTGGGGTACCAGGGATGGAACTCGGGCCCTTGCACTTGTGAGGCAGGTGGCGGAACCACTGAGCCAAATCCCTGGCCCTTGTTTTTGCAGGTTGAAGTCAGGGCCTTCACACTGAGCTACTACATCCCAAGCCCATTTTTAAATTTTATTTTGAGACAGGGTCTGGCTAAGTTGCCCAGGCTGGGCTCAAACTTTCAATTCTCCTGTGCCTCAGCTTCACCCTTATGTGCACGTGTCACTCTGCCCGGACAAAAAAGTACTTGTTTTAAACTGTAAATTACCTCTAATTTCTCTCCAGTTGACTTTAACTTTCATCAGAAATAACTTCTTAAAAGAAAACTAAGACCCAGAGTGGTTTATAAAGGTAGTAAAATGGTAAGCAGCAAAGGTGGGATTGAACTCAACTGACTCCAGTACCATACCCTGTTCCCTGTCAGTGAGCTGTTGCAGGACAAGGTCAGCATCTTTCCTGTCTGTCATGATGCTCTGCAGGTAGCAATGCTCAAGTGCCCACCTGGCCTGAGTTAAAAGTGTTCACCTCAGGGCCAGGGATTTAGCTCACCGGCACAGCTCCTGCCTTGCAAGTGCAAGGTCCTGAGTTCCATCCTCGGGAGCGAAAAAACAAAAACAAAAACAAAAAAGTGTTCACCTCAGAGACCTACCTGAGTGCAACGCAAAGGTGACCTCGCTGTCATCTGGGCCCTCCATGCTGCCAACCACCCCTTCCTGGGGTTCCAGAACCCAACCCTCCTCATTGCCCTCTTCCTCTTCTTCCTCTTCCTCAAAGTCCACATCTTCCATCTCCTGGGCCAGATCATCTGCTTTGGGGAAAATGTTAAAAGGTGGGGCTCGGGAGGCTTAAGGGCGTTGGGGAGAAGCCTAAGGAGACCAAGGCTAGGGTGGGTCAAGTGGCCAGAGCCTGAGGTGGGGTGAGACGGATGGGGTGTAAGGGGAGCACGAAGGGAAGGAGGCGGGGTGCATGGGCTGAGGATGGGAAGCGAGGTCTCAAGACCTGGGGTTGGCCAGCGACCGTGTGGGAAGGGAGGGCCGAGGGCATGATGGGAAGGGGGTGTGTGAGGGGAAGGGCCAAGGGAGGCGTCAGGGAACCCCCACCCCGCCGGGCCTGAGAACCAATGTGGGGGTGGGCTGGGGGCAGGGAGAGGGATGCCGGCAGGCAAGCCGGG